TGGTTTAACTGTTTTTAAGCTACTAATAGAAGCTCTAAGGTTCAATTTGTGTATCATCATTGTCCATGTCAGGGCCAATTGCTCCATCCCCAAAGAGTTAAGGACATTTAGGTTGAAGAGGTGACTTTGTCAGCCAGTTAAAACAAGAACTAAACCATGAAATGAGCAATCCTGTAAATCCAGTTTATTTTTTTTCAAGAATACCAAAAGCAGGCCTGTGTGTGGTAATCTTCATATCAATGTTAAATTTGCCTGAAAGGAACAGGAAAGTTAGCAAGGCTATGTACTAGTCCCAGGCAAGTCGAAGCACCTCATGTTCAGTAGCTTTATTTCAAAGCAGTTGCTCTTCTAAGTGAAGTCTTCCCAAAATGCATTCTCTCACCTGAGAGTGATACAAATTCATTGTGATATTGAACATTCTCAGATGAAGTTTGAAGATGATGCACATCTTGTCTGATTCTTCTGAAGCCAGCTACTGCTCTGTATAGTTAAATAAAACACAAAGGTAGCACCGGAAGGAGTGGACCTAGCGTAGGAGTCAGGATGTCTTGAATATTTATCTCACTTCTGTTCTTGGAGGCATTGCAGGAACTCATTAATCTTAGTTCTGTCAAAAACATGCAACTGCTTGCCCAAGATAGCAAATAAAAAACCATTATATATTAAAAAGAAATATATAGCCTTACACCAGACCATAAATTGCAGTTTTAATACTTTGAGATATCATTGACCCATTGATTTCAATTTAAAGGGAAAAAAAGAGTTCTGCCTAGTATTCACCTGAGAAGATGGATGAACTCTTTTTTCATTTGTTCTTTCAAGGAAAACCCCAATATTTTAGAAATGGCAAATGAGGGTAGGAAAGGAGCCAGCATGTTTGTCTATTCTCTATGGCACTTACTTTTTGCCTGTCAGGCCTCTCTTAATGAGAGAAGCTAAAAAGGAAAAAGAGGACAGCCACAACTCATCACATTGGCAGCCCCATCCTTCCTGTGGGCAGAGGTTAGACATTGCTCTTTGGCATGGGTAACCTGCTGTATGCATCTATAGGAGATGAAAGAACTGAATTATACAGTAGAACTACTTGGGAAAGCCACTAATATCCTACACTACTCATCTTTTGTCATAAAACCAGAAGTATTTTAATTAAAATATTGAAGCATCCAGTAATATTAGGCATTAATTTAAATGTAAGCCAAACACACAAGTGAATTGGTGATACAATTTCTTGTCAACGGATTACGATTACTATGCACTAGCTGAAACTTTAATGTTTTTTTCACAAGCAGATGGAGGAACATGTATTTTAGTATTTTATTCTGTGGTTCTTAAAGTACTCCAAATGCAGAGATTTGAAAAAAATGTATTTTTGCTCCATTCAAGTCCTTTTTCTATTCCTAATAATCACTTCCTTTCAAACAGGTCTTTTACATTTGAGTAACAGAAAAGGGCAAAAAGAAAATAATATTTTCAGTTTGTAAAAAGGTTAGTCTCATAATCTTGTCAAGTGAAAAACACACATAGAACAGTATGGTTTAGATGGTGGCCTAATTAGTGGAAAAAAAGGCACAGAAATGCAACATTGAGAGCGTAATTCAGCCCAAGGTATGCTGAAACCAGAGTGTACTAAAATGTTTTTCTTAGCATTCAAAACTTGTCACTCACGTTGAAATGAGATGAAATAAGAGCTACAGTAAAAAGCTGACAAAATTTCATGCTTAAGAATTGCCTGCTTTCATTTCCACAGCCCGATGAATTTGTCTGGATAAGTATTTGAAATGGGCATTGCACTTGAAAGCCATCAAAATATTTTTAAAGCAGTCTTTTTCACTGAGAGCATGAACTAAACTGCCACCACATCTACCCTGTAGAAGCTGAAGTGGCATATTATTCTACAAAAAGATCCTGCTTTGATTATTTTTCCTCCTATTACTGATGGTAACTCCTCCTTGTCCTCAAAGGAGGTAGACTGAAGAAAAAAACAGAACTGAAGAAGGTGTGCCACAAGAATGGGATAGAGCTCTTTGTTGCCATCCATTTTAACTTAATTTAATGGTAAAGGTACTCACCAGGGTGAACTTGCAGTTTGGGCCCAGAAATGGCAGTATTTTTTCATTCCACTGTACATTCCACTATATCTGACTGATACCTATACAGAAACTAGAACGTTAATTCCCAAATTTGGATCTGAAAGTCATCGCAGGTCATAAGGCCATGATGGGCAGCAGCTGATCTGTGGGAGATGACCACAAAACTACTTAATTAGGGTGATGAATAATTTTTAACTGATAATGTTTACTATCCCAAGGAATAGGACAAATAATGAATTAGGATATTTAGCTATGTAACGTAATGGCAGCTAAACAAGGAAGAAACAAATCAAAGACTCTATGGGTAGTGAGGCAAATAGCAACATAGCAATTAATACCCGAATAGCTGCAAGTGAACTGCTACAGTTTATCCACAGGTAAGTAACAGAAATCCATAAATTGGCAGCCTCTCACAACAAGAGAACAGCTTATAATTTCAAGCTTTCTCTTTAAACTTTTCTTCCTAGGTGGCAGCAGCGAGTCTTTCTTCCTTCTTCCACAACTCCAGCCTGCAAATCTGTAAGGGGGCAAAACTAAACACGAGAGATGCTGAAATCAGCATTACAACAGCCCTTCCCTGCAAACACTGTCTTTAGGTTTGCCTGCTTTGTGGAGTATAGTTGTCCCCAAAATTCATGCAGTAACCTATGTCTATTTAGACTGAAAACAAGAATTAGTAAATTTGTTAGTATTTAGGCACTTGGCAACCCCTGCATTGTCATCTCATTCAGTTATGGTCCTCTCACCTCAGGTGAGACAACACATGGCCCTGAAAAAGTGTCTGCTTCTAAAGGATGTGACAATATCTGGATGAGGAACACTCAACAGTGTTTAGTTTGCCCATACTAAACGTTCTATTGCTGTCCATATTTTCAGTAAAGACTGTGTTACCAAATCTTCTTCAAAAGTCATGCCTGTCCTTCACAGAGGTGTCTTCTCTGCACTTTGTACTGGTAAGCACCCTGTGAAAGCGATTCAAAACTTTATTGCTATTGGCCAACTTTCTTCTAAAATGATTAAAATGTCTGTAAGAAATAAATCTGAACAGCTGATGGAGCAGGAAGACAAACTATTTGAAGGTTCCTTCTCTAGTTGAGCACCAAAAGTTTTGTATTTTTAGAACTACTAAGGAGAAAAACACATAAACCTTTTTTTTTAAATTTATTTTTAGAAAAATCACAATGTTGATAGGAGATTTTAATAAGTAATTTTTAAGCTTGCAAAAGCTGAAAAAGGATTCAAAAGTCTGGTTAGCTAAAAGCTATTTTGAGCTTCCCCTGCCATTCTATTTCTAACAAACACTGACTTAGTCTGTTTTCTTCACACTTGGCATTGATATGAGATACCTATTTATTCATTCAGGTGAGCAGTACGTTTCTTTGTATTTACATAGAGCGTATGTTTATATAAAAATCACTTTTGCACTCTCAAACACACTTAAAGGTTTTAGCACTTTTGTACCAAAAGCAGAAGTGGGGCAAGAGGCTTACAAATTAATTCCAAAACAAAATACTAAAATCTACGTAAAGCTTTGTTGCAAGCTAAGAAACATGTACAAGAAATTCTTAAATGAATTATCCTTGGCATACATTCATATTTGAATGTACAGATATATTTACAGGTTTAATATCCAAATTCATTAATGACTTCTAAGATGTTCCATGAAATGTCATCTTCCTGTAGAACTCTGTCAGGTGGCTAAAGCACATTAGTAAGACACATATTGTAAAAATGCATGAAAATTTAAAAGAATTAGAATGAAAGCCAACAAAACTGGTCAGACTATTCCTTCCAGATGGAACTAGTTATTATTCCAAATTTAGTCCTTTAGTTGCTATGAGTTGCAGTTTTCCATGTTTCCACAGATCCTTGAAACCTTCCTTTCACTTTCAAGAGCCACAGCACAGTTCTCAAGTGCTTTCAAATAAGGATGCAATCATAGGTCGTCATCCCAAGGGCAATCCTTCGCAAGTCCAAAAGCACTTCTCACACGTATGCTATTTATACTGTTCAGTGGATGTCTGTGGAGTGGGGTTGGGTTGTTCTGGTCAGTCTTGCTATTTTGTACTTTTGACCTGTAGTAGTTTCTGTCCCTTCCATGTGTATGATACACCTTCTGAATTCAACATTATATTATCTTAATCTTTTGGTTATGGAAGTCTAAAGTTGTTAATCGCCACTCCCCAGTGCTTCAGCCACAACTGCTTAGACAATGCCAAATATCAATCTTGCTGGATATACAAAATCCAGCTATGGTTCTGATGTGCAAATAAGGCTTTTCCACAACTGACCAGCTCAGTACTCGCAAAGCAGGAAGAGCCAGAAAGGATGAAGGGTCTGTATGCACTAAGTTTGGGTTTTCTCAATCTGTACCAGACAGATGTAATGAAAAAAAACCGCAAAAACAAAACTGAATTTTTGTCTCTTGAATGCTCAAGAACAAGTATCTCTTCCCTGGTGGCTGACCCAGGCAGCTACATAGATTGGGTCAGCAGCACCCACACCCAGATCCATCATTCATACACAGTGAGCCACTTGCTTTCTGGTACCCACAATATACACCAGGCTTGTAGGTTGACACACTCACTGCACACAGGGTATTGAAAAAAAATGTTTGTACTGCCTGAAAGCAATGACATAACAAAACCTTAATTGCTTATTGTTTTTGGAGAGGTAAGGAAAAGTTAAACATACCGAATGCTCTTGAGACACACCCAGTTGTCAGAGGAGCAAAGGCAAGAATGTAAAGGCACAACATACTTCTACACTCCTCTCATTAAGGCCATGTATCGGTGTGCAACAATGCTTCACAGGGCTAACCATACAGAAGTACTCAGGTCTAAGTCACACTCCCAGAGATGTTTCAAACAAGAACAGTTTTCTAATGCAACTTCAGATCTGCTGTTTATGTTATGCTTTTTTTGTGTCCTTTTGGTTTTTTTCAGGCAGAATGCAGGTTCTCTATCCAGTTTCAAGATCTGTTCTTCATCACATTTTCTTTAATTTAGTTCTCCAGAAGTGTGCGCTGAACTAAGAAGTGAAAAACAATTCAAGGTTAGTACACTAAGTTCACATACATTGTAAGTTATTTAATAGTTTATGCAGACAACAAAGTTTCAGTAGGCATTTGGCACTGTGTGATAAATTCAGGTAAGCAGAGCTTGATTCTGTGAAGCCAAAACACTGCACATCAAGGTATATTACATCCCAGATTTCTCACTCAAATAACCACATCCTACTACATCTGGGAACCTATCTACACTTGCAGTTTCAGGCTTGCAGTTTTTGCGGATGCCAACATGAAATGGAGTACAGACTGTGTAAATAATAGAAAAGTAGGTTATTGAAACAAGGTGTCTAGGCTAACTATATTTTCAGGAAGTCAAAGATAAGCTTACATAAAATTTTGAAAATATAAATCTATTCTGCTGTGCCATCTGACCTGGCTTCATAAAAGACCTCTTTTAAACTAGAAGCTGTGTAGGTACATCAACACTCTATTACCAGCAGAGCTGACATGTGCTGACTCCCAGAACTTAGATCAGCACCATTCTGACCATGGATGCCCAGTTTCTTGGCTCAAAACATGATCATGCTTGTCTGCAAAATATAGTAGAGGTATGAAATATGGGATGTAATATGACATCAATACGTAGGCAGGAGTAATCATATATGATAACATCCTGAGTTTGACTTTACTGGTTAAAATAAAATACGCATCATCTGACATATTTCACATTTGAGTTCTGATGAATCTTGGCCAATATTTTAGGATATCCCAACTACAATTCATATTTTTAACTGCCTTTCGTATAGGTCTTTGAATGATCCTACGTGCTTCAGTAATGCATTGCTGAATTGAGGATACCTGCCTATCTCCAGTCCTGACAGCCAGTCACAAGACAATGTTTTGCCCTTGAGAGTTTTATACATTTAACAGCTTAAAGGAAAAGTGTTTATAAAGATGACCGTAAGCCAGATGAAAGTTTTTAGCAAACAGATGAAATACCTGAGAAAAATAAGATATAACTGTTGGGGTTTTTTAATTACATAAAACCCAGAAATAATTCTGTAGATTTTAAACTCACAGAAGAATATACTGACAATATATACTGCTTAGGTATCTAAATATTCAGTATTTCAAAAACACTCAGTAAACTTCAGCATGAGGTTATACTACTACTTCTTTTGTTGACCAGTCACAAGGGCTAGAAGACCCAGTTTTCACCTATACCATTTCCTCCAGATCTATCTATGGCTTTCCCAGAGTTAAACACCTGTTCTACTAGCCAAGTACCCTAGACCACCACATGTGAAGGGTGAGGTTGTAAAAGTTTTTGTTGCTTTAAAAGAGACCTTTCCACAGGTGTCACCTTTGTAGAAAGATCAATTACGTGATGGTTCTTTCATAGAAGAATCATTCCCTGTTCACAACAGAAAATGCTTGAGTTACAACAACATGCTAGCGAGTTTAGTCCTCCTTGCTTCCAGTGTAGTTACATCTCTATTCTGATGCCTCAGAGCTTTTTGGATTTTTTAACTTTTGTAGATTTTAGAAGTAGTTGTGTAGTAAATGTAGATTTTAATGTAGCTGTATTATATCCCTTACCCTGTAGCATAATAGTTACAGATACGCAACCCTGTTACCCCATTTCATATCAATCCCTCTAAATTCTGTTAGCGTGTTTAGTCTTCTTTTTAAGGTAGACTTGTAGAAAAACACTTCTGTTTAAGAACACAGCACTCTAAGCCTGGACCAGGACGTATCACACAGACACAGTAACCTTCAAGCCCAGAACTCTGGAGGAGCTCCAAGGACTATGTGTGCTGTGAAGAAGATGAAGATGAGGAAGAAGGAGTCCCAAAGACCCCAAACCCAATTCCTAAAGGGGCGTGTCGGTGGGCAGAATGGGGCAGAACCGGGGATGGATAGACCTGGGATTGGATGGACCTTATTATAAAATCATAGAACCACTGTTTGGGTGCGCGCACGTGCTGTGTATTCCCCTGGCCTGAGGCTAATTAAAGGACCAACTCCTTTTACACTTATACACTAAATTGTCCTGGAGTCTTTTTCTCTGCAGTCTCTTTAGGTAACAATTCAAACATAATTATTTTTAATATACATTCTTGCAGAGTTCTGTATCAGTTTGTAATCAGAAAAGGTTTCAGATTCCAATCAGAAACAACACAGACGAATAAACTGTTAATTGCAGTTACGTGTTACACTAAAGGAGCAGGCTTGTGTTTTCATAATTGTCTTTAGTAATACTTCTGCAGAGAAAATTCAGTTCTTTACTTTCTCTAAGCTCCTGTATTTCAATGACTTCTCAAGGCAATCAACCAATCTGTTCAAAGAATAAAAAACCAGAGAAGAGTGGCCACATTTTCACAACGGAACTCTTGAGTTAGTTCTAAGTTTGTTGTCATGGTAAAATCATAGAATCACAGAATCGTTTATTTTGGAAAACACCTCTAAGATCATCAATTTTAACCATTAACCCCGCACTCCCAAGTCCACCATGGAACCATGTCCCCAAGTGCCACATCTACACATCTTTTAAATACCTCCAGGGATGGCAACTCTTCCACTTCCCCGAGCAGCCTGTTCCAATACTTGACAACCCTTTTTGTGAAGAACTTTTTCCAAGTATCCTATCTAAACCTCCCCTGGCACAACTTGAGGCCATTTGCTCTTGTCCTATCACTTGTTACCTGGGAGAAGAGGCCTCCATACAACCTCCTTTCAGGTAGCTGTAGAAAGCAATAAGGTGCCTCCTGAGCCACCTTTTTTCCAGGCTTTTCTCTCAGCTCCCCTCTCAGTCGATTCTTCTAAGAGGCTCCAGACCATTCACCAGCTCTGTTGCCTTTCTCTGGACACGCACCAGCACCTCAATGTCTTTCTTGTAGCGAGGTGCCCAAAACTGAGCACAGGACTCAAGGTGTGGCATCATCAGTGCTGAGCACAGAGGGACAATCACTTCCCTAGTCCTGCTGGCTACACTATTTCTAATACAAGCCAGGATGCCATTGGCCTTCTAGGCCATCAGGACACACTGCCAGATCACATTCTGCCAAATTGATAATTATAAGTATTTTTTTTTAAACAAAACAGTGCAAATAATTTTCTCCATTATGTTAGATGTCAATAAAGTGCATTTAATAGGATCCCCACCAAAAAATTGATTTTCCATCTAGATTCTTGTCTTACCAGGTGGCTCAGATTGTGCTCCCCTATGGCTATCCATATTCACATTCTCTTCATCTGCTGGGAAACAAAGAGATGTTTAGCATTCAAATTCTCTTATATTCGAAGTTACTGATTAATAGAGATAATTTGACATAAGAAACAGCATTGAAGAAAATGGGCTACCTGCTGGTAGTTGAGTTGCCCTTGTTTTGCCTGCATGTTCATTTTAACATGCATGGTAGAGATGTTACTCATTTCCAAACTTCCCAAATCACAAAACAGCAGTGCCTGACAGGATGACTGCACTACCCCACACCAAACAGTCAGAAAGACTGAAAGAGACAAAACTAAAGCTTCTGCCCCTCCTATCACCTGCAGGATTCCCAAAGTTCTCTGATCTAAGTTATATGTTATTTAGATGGAAATAAAGCAGATAGCAAGCAATAGATGACTGCAGTAGAATCATTTGGGGATGACCATCGGGGTAGTTGTCATAAAACTAATAAGTAGGCAGGCATCTTAAGAAAAGACAAAGGCAAAATTTACAAAATTAGAAATTATAAGTTATTTTTTCAGCATGAAAATAGTCTCCAATCCCAATCGATTCTCCTTGAAAAGTATTTTCTTGCAGTCTCTCCTGCTTAAGTTTTAACAAGAAGTGCTTTTATTTTAGGAAATGTAAAGCCTTAAGTTCTTCTGCTTCTGAAAGTCTAATTTTTGGGCGAGGCATTCTTCAGTCACCCTGTCTTAGATGACTAGTAAGAAAGGTTACTCCCTGTGAACATAAATTCACTGGGCTATTAAAACTACTTTATGCATAGGATCAGTTTCTAGTCCCCATATAAATACAAAAACACATCTCTTTAGACAGTAGAAAATAAAACTAATTTAGAATTCTTACCGCTTTGTTTGAAACAGAGTTTCTTCTTCTGGTAAGCAATGAAACTAGATACTGCTCCAATTACAGTAGCAGCCACGGCACTTACAATTCCAGCTATTGCTCCCTGAGAAGCTGAAAAAAACAGAGAAGTTTGTATACATTTTTCAGAATTGAAAGCCATGTCAAAATTGTATTGTCTCAAAGTAAACCCTATGAACACTTCCAAAAATCATTAAACTGAAATTACATGAAACTGTAATCATCAACTCTTTCTGTCTTTATGCATAATGAAAAGTGATTTGTCTCATTTTATAACCATTGATTTCTTAGCAATGCCTGTTATTAAGGAACTTAAGCACTCCTGTTCTAATTTCCACTAATTAAAAATGCTACCCTTTCATGGCGATATCTACTTTCCATGCGTGCGATCACTGCACCAGCATCTCTGAGACCTTAACAATTATGAATTATTTGCAACATAGAGATTTTAAAGGATTATGAAAGCAGAGCTTGAAAGTAAGAATTCCACATTCCACAAAAGTTTTTAAGTTGTAACCCACTCCCAGTAGTGAACATTCTAGCAGAAGATTAGCAACACAGAAACCTCCAGAAAAGAAACTTCATACATCCATACGCCATCATACACACAAATTCATGCATTTACCCTCATCTTCTTGGCCATTATTTGGAGTTTGGCCCCTTCGTTCTGTAAAAACAAACAGAAAGGTTACATTTTACATGTCTAAAGAACAGTCGTATCATAATTGACAACCCTTTTGTCAATTAATTATCCAAAATTACAAACCATCTATGATATCCATACAGTGCTAAACTCTGGCATTCAAACTTTCTGCTTTCAAAGTACTGGTCATGGTGGTGTCAACTACAGCCTTGACTACTCAGCACTTCTACAAAATGAGCACAGAGCACTTGTAAAATCTGGTTTAACCAACTTGTGCACCACCACAGAACACTCAGTGGAGAGGAACACTGTATAACTTCAGAGTAACACTCAGCTGTATTTCCACAAAAACAACTATCTTTTCCTAAAATCCCAGCCTCATTTACTAAATACTTTTGCAATTCTCTTTGCAAGCAAGACAGAAGTTCTATATATACTAACTATATTTGTCACAATGCAACTTGTACCATTGCAGCAGGAACCCGTGCAGATCAAAACACCCCATAAGTCTCCACAGATATTTCTTGCCCCTGCCAATTTTCAAGATACTGCCCCGAACATACCTTGAAAGGTGAAAGCTACCCAAAAAAGTGGCATAGGGAATCTCTGTCTAGGATAACTCTCTGAAGAAGTCAGTAACCATTGGCACACCTCAAACCCCATCAAGATACTTCAGCTAACTCTGATCTGGAAATAGTAAAGTTTCAGTAATGCACACAGGGATGACTAGACACATCCCAAGGATGACCATTACTGCAGCCTGGTTGCAATGACCACCTCTATATTGAGCTGAGCCACAATGATTAGAAATGTCAAATTACTAAAAGAAAGTTTGGCAAACTATGAAATGGTTTCATTCTGCTCAGAGTAGATACACCCTACATAGAATCATATGGTTGGAAAGGACCTAAAAGATCATCTAGTTCTAACCCCCCTGCCATGGGCAGGAATACCTTTCACTAGACCAGGTTGCTCAGAGCTCCATCCAAGTTGGCCTTAAAACACTTCCAGGGATGGGGCATCCACAACTTCTCTGGGCAACTTGTTCCAGTGCCTCACCACTCTCACAGTAAAAAGTGAAGATTAAGAATCACTTGGAAGTGTAAGGATCAACTCATCTTTTGGGACAAAGCACATTTTTGAGAATATGGGGTGGATCTTCTTCTGGCCCACCTTTAGACCTTCTAACTACAAGAACTAAAAGAAACTGACAGTATGTCACAGAAGATCTAAAAATAGCACCTGGAGGACTTTAAGAACTATATTTATGGCAAATTATGAAGTACTACATTCATGTCTCAGTTTAAAAAGCCATCCTTCTTCGTATAACAGTAAAAATCATGGAAGTTTTACCTCTAGACAAGTTTACCTCTTAATTATTTGGGGTGGGGTTTTTTGGTAGAGACAGAACACATTACTTTTGAATTCAAAGATATGCTCTTAAGTTTCAGATACCAGAACTAAAGGTGTTACAAATTAGAGCATGCTAACCAGCTTGGGAGCAAGATTTTATCAAAAAACTCAGGTAACCATAGAAACAATATGAAGCACGACCTACTGTCTTACCATTGCTGCCACTACCATCACCTCCGCCTTTTGGTAAACTGCCATCAAATAGATCTGTATCATCAAATGTGCCTATAAAAAAATGTAAATAGCATTACCTTACATGTTTTAAGTTCAGTGAAAAGACACCTCAAGACACATAATGACATGGAAATTTTCTCAAGATTGTTCAATTGAATTTGTTGTGGTTTTAGGCTTAGCATCATAGTCACAACATGTTCACATTTTAAAAGCCCTCACAATGTCAAATCCCTTCAGTTGAGCACTACACAGTTTGACAGCAGTACTCCTGCCTCCGGACTTTCTGAACAACTGAGAGAAGAGCAGAGTAGCACAAATCAGGCTAAGAAAGCAAGAAGCCCTATAAGCTACTTAATTGGAATAACTCAAGTCTCTCTATGCTGTGAAAGCAAAGAAAGGACATGGATAGGAAAGGATCGTTTCTTTTCAGGGCTGCAACTGTGAGTGAATCTTCAGAGTTGGGTTTCTTAGTCACAAACAGTCCAAACGTAATTCCCTTCTCTGATTTATTGCAAGACATTGGACTCTCCATTTCCACTGAACCCTACCTTACAGAGCATTCCCTTCCCCCTCATGAGACCTTCTCCTCCTTACCTCTGCTGCCAAATGAATCCTTAGTTTATGTAAAGCAAATATGTTTCAAGTAGCAAAATTAAAAGTATTGCATCAGAGGATGTTTTAGTTGGGTGGCAAAAGCACTGCACTGAGGCATGCAAGACCCAAATTCAACTATCTGCTGCAAACAGAAAGAACAAGAACCAGGGCTTGCGTTCCAGTTAAGGACTCTTTACCACAATGTTCATGGATAATGGCATTTTCACAACTGCATCGATCTAAATCTGTTTTGTTCTGGGTCAGGCGAAGACCTCTAAAGCACAACAGGGAAGGACATGTATTTAAGCCTATCTTTCAAATACAAATAATTCTATTACTTAACTGGGCCTTTAAAAAAAAAACAAAAAACCCTCCAAATCAACCCCTTAACTTGGAGCTTTATCTTTAATTTAGATCCTTTAAGAATAAAGATCATAGGCAGCTCCTATTTATCTTCTGGCATGACTAGAAGGGATTCAGTTTGTAAAGACGAAAGAAAGAACTCAATCCAATACCAGGGTGCTCCACCACAGGCAGCCAAGTACAGCATTGCCCCAAGCACACACACACTCTGTCCCATCCTCCCTCCTCTCTACACCATCCTACTTTTAAGTGAAAGTGCCTCAACAGGCTTGTTATGGAATTTCAAGACTGCTGCAAAGTTTATTTGCAAGACAACTTTTCCTCAATCCTCAGTGTTTATCCAGGGCAACATCTGACATAGAGAGCAGCCAATTAACACAGATCAATTAGTAGAAGTGTAACTGAGACAGTAAAACCCTGATTCAGGAGTTTGTGCTAGAAGCCTTACCAGTGTCTTTAGGTTGATCTTGCTTGGGGTTATCTATATGTAGAAGAGAGATTTAAGGAAAAAAAAAAGAAAAAAAAGAAAAAAAAAGGTTAAGACAGAAAAACTGGACTACATGTTGAAAGGAACTGGGATAGATTAACAAATACTCTTCTACTGTTCAGAAATTCCTGTTAGGTCAGTCTTACCAGTGTCTTTAGGTTTTGCAGGAGGATTTGGCTTGGGACCATCTGTAAACAAGTAAAGAGTTAGAATAAAGTTACTCGTGTGAAGAGACTAAAAGCAGACCATGCAATGACCTTGAAAGACTATCTGACCTAAAAAAATGACATCAAAACTTCCCCACGTCATTTTTCCTTTCACTAACTAATGCTGTATTTGTTTGGTTATTTTAGCTAAACACTGTATTTTAATGCAACTAACAGTGTTTCTGCTATATTAACCTGTATGTCAGATCCTTGCTATAACAAACATATACCGAAGAACTCAAGCGTTACGCAGCATTTTAATTTGCACATTGTATTTCAAAGGCTGAAATTCTTTACATTTTTCTACCAGGTACAGATTACTTGGCTGTTTTCTCTTTTAAAATTACTGCCTTTTAACCAGTAATAAAAGTTGGTACCTCATGTAAAAAGAATAGACAAGGTACACAGAATAGAATTAAAAATATGGTCCCCACAATGACATTTCATTTAGCTTGCTACAAAATAGAAAAATAAGAGATCTTAGTAATTTTTTCTGTATTTGGTCACAGTCTTCACATCAAAAAGAGAATTTTCCCTCAAATTATTTCTAACATATTGATGTTTACTTGTGCTACTCAAATTACTTCTATAAAGGAAGAGATTACTTCGGATTTAAAAACTACTTCCATAAGTAATAGTTTATGGAATTAGTGCCATCTAGTGAAGACACAATAATGAAACAAGTAGGACTTGGCTATGAAATTATTGAAATTCATACAGTTTTTGTGATCCAGAACCTTTAAAATGAAAGTAAATAAACATAACTAGACTGCAATTAATTTATCTGCAGTCTGCTGCCTTAATCAACTCAGTGCCCTTATTACATTTAGGTCATAAAGCACAGATAGACACTGCACAAATACCTTTGAGCAGTATTCAGGAAAACACGATACTTACCAGGATGAAGAGCATCATCTAAGTTAAAATCATCTACAAAGAAAGAGGGAAAGTTTTAAGTGTAATGCAAAAACTGAAATAGTTTTAGACTATTTTTACACAAAACGGACCTCAAAATGTTTTCACCAAGAATGTAACAGCATGCTCATTCAACAGTGGCCCACAGAGGAGCCCCACAGGTACCAGGCACTATCTGCCAAACGACATGGTGCTTTTGGTGACCATGATACCTGTCAAGAGCCAGCTCAAGGTGAGCAAGCTCCAAACATTCAGACTGAAAGCCAACAAAAGGGATTTTCACAGAGTCTTTAAGTTTGTGAAATCACAAATACCTTTGTGAAAGTACTACCAGGAGACTCCAAAATGAAGAAATCTTTTTGCTTTTAGGAAACTGCTTTCTTCTATAGAAATATCACAACCCTGTATGCCACTATGTTGAAAAGTTCAGGCTCTCAAATTATTATGTACACTACACTTGACTTTACAATAAAAGACATTACAAGCCAATTACATCCCACCTAAGTCCTGTGTTGGTGTCTTCTGGGATGGAAGAGGCTTCTTTGTCGTCTTTATCTCTCCTGTTAGAGATGGTTAGAGAAAAAAAAGTTAAATACTATTTAATACACTGTTCAGAAGCTACACGAAAGACAAATATAAGTATATGTCTATACAATGAAAAGCACAAGATCAAATATATACAGCAAGACAACTTCCCCTTAAAAGAAATCCTTAATTGTTCCAAAGACAAATTTGAGTTCTATGTGGTCAACACCTTGACATACCCATAGCTGAATTGTTCCACTGAGGTTTAAACCAAACATATGCAGGGAAGGTTTCATGCTTGGTCACGTAGTGATACTTGGAAACAAACAATTCAGAAGAGCATCCACTATTTTCCCGCCTACCTCCCAAAATTTGTGAGTGCAATAATTACCAAGTGCATCTTCTAAGTTGAAGTCATCAATATTGCCTGTAGAAGATAAAAGAAACAGTAAGGACACTACTTTTTCTTTTTCACATCCAACACTTAATAAAGTCATAAACATATTTCTGATCTATCGTATGTTTTCTGCTTCCTGATTCAGAGTAGAATATTTCCAGTCAGGGTTGAAGACATTCTTTGCTATTTCTCCAGATCACTATCCACAGATCTCTTCAGAAAAAAAGGAACAGCTCTAAAAATAGAAAGGACCCAGAGGGCCATAACAGCCAATATAGTGAACTTAATCCTTTATTCTTGCCACTGCTATTGCATGCTTTCTTAGTGCCATCCACAGAATATTCTTTTCCAGCCTTCTTTCCACAAACCACAAAATGAGCAGGGGGACAGCTCCAATGCACAAGAATTTACAAGATTCAAGTGTGAAGAAGAGCCTTGGAGCACAAAGGCCATTATGGAAGTCACGTGATCGAGTATTGCTTTTAAAATCTTGGCATTAAAAATTAATTTTAATGTGTTTATAAGACTTACCTTTCCCCCTAACAAGATTAGCAGTATGAAGGTGATCTTGAGCAGTCTCTTTAACTTCCTAAAACATAGCTAAATGCAGCTGGTGCAACTATAGGCTCTCTACTCAAGGTGGATTAAATTCTATTTTCAGTCTTTAGGACAAAAACACCCACTCTTGCTACATTAAGTCAGTTGCTAGAGCTAGTGCTGCTTATCCAGCCAACTGCAAATACACTAACTCAATATATACGTGATAAAAACTGGTTTCACAGCATAAATATAGTAGTGTGATCTCAGCAGCAGAGGCTTGTAAAATAAGTGGACAGATACACCCCAAGAGTTGTTTTATCTGATTGTTCATTATCCCTACTTTCACTGAAACAAGGAATAAGAAAATGGAAGTAGATACTGGCTATTCAAGAAAAAGACATAAAAATACACTGCTTCAGCCCAATAGAAGCTGAAAGACTTTTTCTACCTACTCACTATCAAGCCAGACAGAGCAAAAGTTATTTCCAAACAGAACTACCTGAATTCAGAAGATAACTGCACAAAGCATTGGTGTGTCTGGCTTTTCCCCTAAGAATGAGGCTACCAAAGAGGCATCGGAACTGGCTACTGCAAAGTCTGAAGAGAGGAATAAAAAAACAAACATCAAAATCAAACCACAAGCAGAATGTCCCTTTCACTTGCATGACAGACCAAGCTAAGACAAGGACAAGTCATGACTTTAGTATCATGAATGATGGATGCTCCTATACTTGGTGACATCTTTCCTCTTAAATGAGGTCAAAATTGAAATCTCTTTTACTTCTCAGATAACTGAGAAGAAAAGAGACTAAGATACTTTTTTTTTTTTAAATAGGGAAGCTAGGAATGACAACTGGAATGGAACAAAAAAAAAGTGTTCATCTGGCCAACTGAACTGCTACAGCAGAAACTGAAATCTGAAGTCTAAGCAGTGATTCTCATAATGTAACATTTGAACCAAGAACCACCTTGCTCACAGCCAAGTAGGGTTGCTTATCTGAAGTCAATATTATCTTGCAATACGATCTCAAAAAACTCTGTAAAATTAAAAGGTGCTAAGACCCCAATGTCAGTTACTTTTGAAGTTACCCCCCTGGTTACACTACACCAAGAAACCTCCATATCAACAGGCAAAAAGAGGTCAGAACACTCAAATTTAAACAGGTATTTGCATAGTTGTTCCTCAACTCTGAATTCTAGTTTATTTGTTTTCTTGAGTACATGTATCTCTCGGGCTACAGTCCTCCTGGGAAGTATGCCTAAGACAGGACCTGATCAGATATTTCATAATCTGACTCTAAGAAGGCAGGCAGAGGGATCTGTTGAAGATGCATACTCCTCAAAACACTCTACCAGAGTAGCAACCAGAGGATGGACCATCACGAACTATTAACACTATCTGTCTTAAAATTAAAGATATATCACTAAGAGAATGAACATTACTATGGTGGGTATATTTCACAAGTCCTGTTTCTTTTTAGGAGGAGTGAGAGATGGAAAAAAAAGCACATACACTCAACATTATGCTTTGGTGCAGCTGAAATTTTACCCGGAGCAGAAAAGAGGGTATTTGAAGAGTTTCCCATTGCCATCATGAAACATAGTCCAGGAACTCAGAATAGTTCCAGCTGCAGTGCTTTTCCTTAAGAGGAGGAAACCATTGTAAAAAGGGGTGCTTTCAGTGACATTGCTATTTTAAGGAATTGTTTTCACATAAGATCTTCATGAAGAAATAATTTAGGATGTGACTGCTGACTGCCAATCTCACAGAAGATATGCTGCTTTGACAGAGGAATAAACAAATTTGAGAGTTAATAAAAGATCATGCTTTATTGACTGGAGTGATTCAATATTCTGCAACCACGCTTCTTCTTTCTGAGCATGCAGCAAGATGCCAGGGTCCTCACGTACATTACTTTTTTGAGATAAAGTAGCAGAAAATGTCAAATACTAGCTTATGAAACTGGTTACAATAATCTGCACTCTAAGGTGCTGGCAGTCTGCTTTCCCAGCAAAGAAAGGTGTTTCTCCACTGTTTATGGCAAACCTTCCTATGTCTTTAAAGCAGCTGGTTTTACAACTGTACTCGCTCAGCTTTTGGTATGGGTGGGTCCAACTAAACTAGAAGTTCAGTGACTTAGCCTGAAAGGAGAAAAGCTCAGTACTAGGGATTCAGCTGGTTGCAGATAAGAAATAATCAGAAAACAAGAGATAAAGCCACAGAACTACAATAAAGGTTATTATCAGGATCCAAGAAGAAAAAAAATCAGCAAGAATACACTGCACTCCCTACAGGTCTAAGGAGCACCCAGAGCAACTAAGCTTATAAGCATTTTCTTAGTCTAAGCAAAGATATTTACAAATAAAGCAGATATTATATTGCATATAAAGCATGATACAGCAGGTATTTCTAGCTCCTAGGGGCACGAGCATATTCAAGAACATTTCAGAAGTGTCTACACTATTTTCCTTTCATGTCTGTAGCTCAAATACCAGGATCTCAAGAGACGGATCTTTAGAAGGCTGTCCCTAGTAACCAGCATAGTCTGTGTTAGCTGTGGGAAAAACAGTAGGTAAAATAAAAGAGCAAACATAGGTTTTTGAATAGTTGAAGAGCTAGAGGGTATTCAGGAGATCCAAGTAACTATGCAAACAGCAGTGCTTTGCGAAAACCTATCACCGCTCTCAGATACTTACTGCTACAGTATTAGTCATATTTACATTCCACTGCAGAAGCTGACAGGAGCTTTGGAAACTTCCTCTCTTAGTCACGTGTACGGCAACACACCAAGAAAGGAGACTTGTGATGAATCACCACAAACATAACTTTCTGACTTGAGCAACAGACTGCTTGAATTTCGTTTTCTTAAAAATGCAGTGTTCTCATTCTTCTTTCCCTCCCTCCCTCTCTCCCTCGCACCTTGTGCACCACAGGGTGCCACAGAGCCTGCAAGCTGCAACTGGTCTTCCAATTGTTGGCCTACAGACCAGGTGACAATGGTCACCTTGTCTTCATCCCACAGCTCGACACTACCTGCTACTCCATCAGTGGCTGACTAACTTACAATCATGAAATATTTCCAGTTGGAAGGGACCATAAGATCATCAAATCCAACTCCCTGCTCCTCACAGGACTAACTAAAAATAAACCATATGAATAAGAACCTCATTCATACACTCCTTAGACTCTGTCGGGCTTGGTGCCATGACCACTTCCTTCCTGCCTTTTGCAGAGCCCAATCATCCTCTCAGAGAAGAACCTGCTCTTAAGGTCCAATCTGAACTTTCCCTGATGCAGCTTCATTCCATTTCCTTGCATCCCGTTGGTGGTAACCAGAGAAAGTAGATCAGCACCTCTGCCTCTACTGCCCACTTGAAGAAGCTGTAGACTGCTATGTGGTCACCCCTCAGCTTTCCCTTCTCCAAGCTGAACAAACCAAGTGACCCCAGCCACTCCTAGTAAGTCTTGCCCTTGAGGCCTTTCACCATCTTGGGCACTCTCCTCTAGACATACCCCAATAGTTTGGTCTCTTTATTGCACTGAGGCTCCTAAAACTGTACAGAAGGACTTGAGGTGAGGTCGCACCGGCACAGAATAGAGTGGGACAATCACCTCCCCCAACCAGCCAGCATTGCTGTTCTTGATGCACCTCAGGGCACAACTCGCCCTTCTGGCTGCCAGGTTGCCAGACTGTTGACTCAGGTTCAACTTGCCTTCAACCCAACCCCTCAGATCTCTTTCAGCAGGTTGCTTTCCAGCCTCCTGTCCCCCGTTTTTACATAGAAGCAGCATTACCCCATCCCAGGTGCAGAATCTGGTACTTGCTCTTGTTAAATGTCATATAGTTTGTTACTGCCCAACTGGTGTCTGTCCTGCTCCCTAGCCACTTATTTTCATGAAATATGTAAAAATCTTGAGCTCAAAGAGGCCCCTCTTCCCTGCAGAGTTTGCACAAGGTTTGGCAGCACTCTTGCAGGACAAGGATATTGGTAGCCACAAAGGCATAAACTCGGGAAACCAGGCAAAAAGCAGCTTCCCCAACTTTGAGCAGGAAAAGCGGGTAACTGGATTTTATACTCTCATGCCTTGTGCTCCTGCTGCTCGGGGGAATGAAAACACATGGAGTAGAAATATTCAACACTTAATCATAACAAAACCTACAGAAAATACAGAAAAGTCAACACATTGGAACTTGTTCAAGAAGCACTTTAAATATGAAAACATAGACATTCCATACCTTACAATTTTTTTTAAGCTTAAAAGCACTTGATTTCAACCCAGGTTTTGCCCCACCAGCATTAGTTATCTACTAATAAAGGACTTCTACTGTTCAGCTCACATTTTGACAATTATTTTCCAGCTTGTCCTAAGGCAAAACCAAGAGAAGCAATTTAATTAAAAAAACCTGGGAGAAAGGTGACGGTTCTCCATATCTTACTCTAAGAACTGTATCTCTAACGTTTTAAATAGAGAACCTGAAACATGAAAA